GTCATCATTGTCTTCGATGAAATCAACATCCGCTTCAAGCCACAGATCTCTTGCAATAACTCAGCCTGTAAATCCAAATCCTGGGAATCAAAATCCTTCATCAGTCCTGCCAATGATAGGCAAAGCAAGGAACACACTGATGGAAGCCATAAGAGCAGGCGTTCAACTACGCAAAATTCCTAAAGAGAGAACAAGTGCTGAGTTACCTGAAAATGACGCAGATATGATCCGGGACTGTGGTAAAGAAATGGGGTATAATTCCGGAAAATCGGATAGCGAAAGTGAATGGGCTTAACAACCAAACATAAGCAAATAAACCCATCAAAGTAAAAACTAGTATTTGTTGTGTTCTATTACATCTAAGTCATTTCTAGTGTTCTAATTTCCCCCCTTGAATTAGAACCCCTATCATAACTACACACACACACACACACACACACAGAGAGCATCCAAAGGTTTCATACAAAGCTTTAATATTTAAAATAATGGATTTTAGTGCAAAAGAAGTTAGCTGGGGAGTTTACAGATTCAGAAGGTGAGTCCATGACCATCGTGGTAAGCAGAATGGCATCAAGCAGGTAGGCATGGAGCAGTAGCTGAGAGCTTACATATGATCCATAGCTATTGGCAGACAGACTCTGGACTTAGCATGGGCTTTTGAAACCTCAGTTCCCATCCTACTGACATACCTCCAACAAGGGCACGCTTCCTAATTCTTAACTAAACAGTCCACCAACTAGAAATATATAACCTTATGGGGTCATTCTCATTCAAACTACCACAAATGACTTTATCATATTCACCAGACTGCAGACCAGGATAAACCAAGGTAAGCCGTAGCAACTATACCACAATCTGAATACCCTGGAAATTCCCACTATCAAAGTTCATTCACTTTACATTCAGACTATCAAGACATGAAGACAATACAGGCAATTTCTTTGCAAGAATATAATGTAGATGGCTCCTAGCACAATTTCTGACAGTTGATGTTTCATTCTGAAAGCTCACAAACTGGGCAGCCACTGTCTTTCTCTAAGCATTCTTCTCTTTCAAGCTCCCATGAGAGAATGGGTCATTAAATATTCCATAGAGTATACAAGGCCTATTGTACAAAGTAACAAACTTGAATATTCCCCCCACATACCAACTCCAAGGGCCCAATAACCACAAGGCTTCTCAGTATCAATTTTTTTCATTAGTTACTTCTCCTGATGCTGAAACTTAAGGAAGCAAAGGCTAATTTTGGCACATAGATTGAGGATACAGTCCATTGCTGCAGGGAAGTCATGGTACAAGAGCTTATAATAGTATCACAGGTGTGCCGTCCAGAAGTAGATAATGGTTAATATTGCGCATT